TATATATATATATATATATATATATATATATATATATATATATATATATATATATATATATATATATATATATATATATTATCAGTACATAACAATTATTAACTACAATTGCATTTGTAATAAAAGATAAGAATAACTTTTTACCACTATATTCATGCTTGTATATCGTGTAATGGATATTTTTAAATAGAAAATACAAATGCATACATATTCGCTCAAATCTCAAAATATATTATTGCAGATAACGCATCATATAGACACAGAAGCGCGATGATTTTTATTATTTCAATACTCACCAACTTGTAGAAAGTTGACTATGATGAAATCATCAGCAGTAGGCCAAGAAATAATTTTACTCCCGGGACATTCTACCCAAGTAATATTTGATATATCACAAAATTCAAGATGCGACTGTATGCAAATATTTATCGGTATATGCCACTTAGTGTTGTTCTCACAAAATGTTAGGATATTTATCACTCTAACGCCATGAGTAACAAGCAGCTCGGGATAATATTTTTGCTGTAACCAGCTATTCATTATCTCTGATATATTATGAGTCTGTCTCTTTTTATTGTTGTATTCACTATTGGCACCTTGCACAATAGACCAGAAATCGATGTTCTCATATGGGAGCCGTATACTAAATTTTTAAAACATAATGATAATGACAATAAATCAAACGTATAATAAATTAAATTATAAAGCATATTAACCAACACATATTTATCTGTACATAAATTTCTGGAAATTAACAGAAATTGTGCGGAAATTTAACAAAAATATGGTGCAACCGTCAACGTGATCGACCTATGTAATTTACAACAAAGAACGATGTAACTTAACAAAGAACAAGAATGCCTGGAGGTACTTCAACTGATCTTAAGAATTAAAATCTAATTTTTCAATACGCGTGTAACGAATGAGGGCATCATTATCTTCCGACTAAAATATATGAAAGGAGGCAGAATGTATAATTGTATCTTTACGTTGTGATACTCACGAGTCTCTCACGTATTTTTCGATGCACTGGCGGAAAATCCTCGAGGTAAGAATATATTCTAACATGCGCAACATGACAGATCCTACAATAATCCACACCAACCAACATGAAATAAAATAACGTTAAAATATTATGGAAATATTATGGTCAGCATGATTTATTTTTACAATACCTCTGTTTGAAAGTTTGAAACAGTTTAAATATATTTAAATGCAAAATCGCTTCACTGTATTTATTCACCTTTGTAGTTATACAACGAAGAGTAAAGAACTGCTTCAATATCATCAGTGTCATAGGTTTCACGTACAACAGGTTTCATCTGTAGAGCCTTATCATTATAAAGAGTGGGTTGTAGAACATGGACCACGAAAAGGTCCATTAAATGTGAGCCATAGAAAGGCTAGAAATAACAATTCAATAAATATAATATCAATGACAATATTGAAATTCAAAGAATGAATATGCATAATTGTTTTATTGCTGAAAAATGTTGATCATAATTCAAAAATCCATATATCAACATGCTACAACGGCACAGTTGTATTTGTGCCTAATGTTGATGCAAAATTACCTCCAATATGAAGAAATGACTGAAATACGTCGCAAGTGATCCTCTTATCCACATGTTAGACCATGGCGACGACGTAATAGGTGTATCGAACCATTGTCGTGCCTCTTGATATGCAAATAACTTTATGATTTTTAGTTTGCGACCAGCAAAATCATGCTTTACGTTGTATGTAATATCTTGTTCTCTGTAAATTTTCGATTAACAGTGTCGTTTGCGGATTTTATTTAACTCTATTGCAATTCTAATATATGGATTCATAGTAGAATCTTATATTTAATATTGTCTTGATTTATCTTCAGATGTAGCTAATGAAAGAATTCGTACATTATCTGAAGATGAATTAATCTGAGGACGATCTTAAATATAAAATATAAAATCTAACTATGAACATCGGCCATAGTTATATTGAAGCTTATAATTTTATGTTTTCATATATATTAAGCACATTTACATATGTTTAAACACAATGTCATGTGAAAAAATCAAACGTACAATTGCAAACGTTTAAAATTATTTTATCTTTTATCGTATTCTATATCACACATAGTATGGCATAACAATCCTTCACAAAAAACTCATCACATATGTATGACGGCAATGAGGTTTCATTCTATATCCACATAAACAAATTAAACTTATTTTACATTATTACATAAAAATTATAGAGTTCGACAGTCGGTTTCCTAAATGACTGATGATAATAAACGTATTGAAATATTCACTAATGCTATATCTAATATGTAAGTATATGCACATTTTTGAACTATATATGCATATTTTTGTATTAGAAATTTTTATAAGCATCAAAATTTGAATGCTATAACTTTATAGTCATATTTGTCTGTACCTGTAAACAATAAGTCCAAGAGACCCTTTGGCCCGCGCAAAACTATTCGGAATCACGACGTAGTTGGTTTTAGGAAGTATGCTGTTCCCTTGGAAGTATCTATGCAAGGCTACCCTGTGTACTTGAATCATTGACTCGGCAAATTTTAATATTCCCGCCTTTGCTGGACGTAGCCACATAGTATGTTCGTGGTCGGAATGAACCACCTTATGAGTTTCAAGTTTACGTATTAAATCATCAAACATGATAATCGCCACTTCAGAAGCAGCCATCAACCGGCTAATGTTAAAGTATGTATATTGCAAGTCGTCAGTTTCGTCCTTCGTAGTTACTGCTTGCATATTCGACAAAACTGTGTACTCCTTAGAATGCAAAATTGTAATATTGAAAACTGCTTTTATGCCGGGTTCATCCCAGCATGGAAATACTCTTCGGGCCGCGATCGGTTCGAACAGATTTGTGATCAACCACCTGTCATATTTCAAACACAAATGTCTATAAATATTTCTCGATTATGTGACAATAATGTGCCAATACGCGAAAAAAAAATTATATGTAATATTTATATAAAATTATATGTTTATATATAAACTACACATAATTAAAATAAGAAATAAGAATATGAATGATTTTATAAAATTGATTTTAATTATATATAAATTATGCATAATTATATATATATATATATATATATATATATATATATATATATATATATATAT